ATGTCCTGCTCTTAATTAAATGCATAGTTGAGCCAAAAATAGATTTAAGAACAGGATGTGGCTTTTAAAAGTGTGAGAAAGTATTTCAAATAGAATAATTAATTAGGAAGAAGTTTTATAGCAGAGAAACTAACATAAAAAGATTAATTGAAGCTTTTTATGTTACATATATATATATATATATATATATATATAATTAGAGTAATGAAGGACAATTTGTGAATTTCTTGCAATGAGGAAATAAATTCAAACTTGTTTCAGATATTAAAGTGAGCATAAGAAATTTTCAAAAATATCCTCATGTGTCAGGAAATACGTAATCAAAATTTTTAAGAAGCAAATTTTATTTTTAACAGTGCCACATTATTGACATACATATAAAAATAAAGGTGGACAATTTTGCTAATTTTTAAAATTTTTAGGTGAATTTTTTGCAATGAGGATTTCATTTGAAACTTGCCTCAAATATCAAAATGAAAGCAAATTTTTAATAAATGCTCAAAAATGTGAAAAAATATATGCTCAAAGTTTTTGAGAAGCATATGTTTAATCCAAACCATGCAACGTTAAGAGCATTAATATTATTAACATAATAAAGGATGTATTACGAATTTTTTATAATTTTTTCCAGTGAGGAGTTAATTTGAAAATTGTTCCGGATTTCAAAATGAGCATTAATATTTCCAAAAATGCCCATATGCGTCAAGAAATAAGTAATTCAATCAATACGTAGTTCAATCAAAAGCTTTGAGAAAGGTAATCGTAGATGGTATGAGCATATTTATCGATAACGTAAAGGACGACACTTTGCGGGGTTTTTTCAATTTTTTGCAATGAGAAATTCATTTGAAACTTGTTTCAGATAAAAAGTAAGTGTCCATTTTTTCAAAAATACCCATAGTTGTGAGGAACCAAACACTCAAAATATTTAAGAAGCATTTGTTTAGTCCAAACCATACTATGTAAAGAGCATATATGAAGTTAACATAATAGAGTTTATATTACGAATTTTTAAAAATTCTTTGCAATGAGAAAATAATTTGAAACTTTTTATGCATATAAATAAAAAAGAAACCCAAACTGTGAATTCTAGAAAATTTGAGTTTCGAAGCGTTGAGTCTAATATTTACGGAGTTATACGAAAATTGTCTAGAATCACGTCGAAATTTCCGGGTCACCAAGCATATGTAAATAGGATTGTGCTTCCGTTCCTTATTTAAAATTTCTAGCGTGTTCGCTTGACCACCTCGTCAGCTGGCAACCATTTTTTGCAATTGAACTATAACACTTCCTTAGAGAGCAAAGCTCCAAAAGAGATTTAAAAAAAGTTTACTTGAGTTTTTCCCGTCATTGTTCACAATAAATTAATTTGCTGACAATAACGCATCACCAATTACGTTATCTGTGATTTTTACATATTCATATGATTTTAAAAATTTTTCTTTAGTTATGCACATAAAAATTTATAATACATATTTTAATATTCAATTATTAAAACATAAAAATTTTTTATAAATGAATATCTTTTTAGATTTTTTTTTCTCATTAAATTTGCTCATTTTAAGAAATCGATTTAAGTTTGAACCATATTTTCAGTACTTTTAATAGTTAGATAAATAGATAGATTAGATAGGTGTTATACAGGGTGTCCCAAAAGGTCGTTTACAAACTTAACATGCTGGTCTGTCATATCATGATGAACAAGATTTACATAGGAACTTGGGACCGAAAATTAAAACTGCGACCGCTAGAGGGCGATAATTGCAAGAAAACGGGAGAGTGGGAAAAACAATCATTTCAGGCGTGGACGTTGAAGGTGAAGGATGAATGAGTTTAGTAAAGCAGAAATGGCCGACATGCATTACGTATACGGCGCCGCTGATGGAAATGGTCGAGCCGCGGCACGGACGTACCTTGAGCACTTCCCAAACAGACGTCAGCCAAGTCATGTTTTGTTTGGATGATTGCACCGCAGATTATGTGAATCAGGTGCTTTCGTAGCACGTAGCCACATCGGTCGAGAACGTGCTACACGCACACCTGTCGTAGAGGAAACCGTGCTACAGGAGTATGCCATCAACCAGCAAAGAAATCTCCGAGAAGGCGAACGTGTCTTGGGTGTAGCTCGTTCCACCATAATGCACATACTGCACGATGACATGCAACACCCTTCCCACTTCCAAAAAGTACAGGCATTGTGCGCTGACGATTATCCCAAACGCATTGCATTCTCACGCTGGTATTTGCAACAGCGGGTCGCACAGCCAGATTTTCCATCATGGATTTTGTTTTCTGATGAATCCTGCTTTACGCGGGATGGTGTCGTGAGCCTGCACAACATACACGTATGGGCGCATGAAAACTCAAGATGTACATGTGCCCATGCACATCAACAACGTTTCAGCGTAAACGTTTGGGCTGGTATTATTGGTGACATGTTGATTGGCCCTTACCTTCTACCTGAACGCCTCGACGGAAATACCTATCGCATTTTTTTAGAAAGAGTTTTGCCGGATCTGATGGGTGACGTTCCAGCCGCTACACGCCGAAACATCTGGTTTCAGCATGATGGAGTGCCTGCCCACTTTAGCTACGCTGTTCGAGAATACCTCGATAGGATTTATCCTAATCGCTGGATCGGTAGAGGCGGACCAGTCCCATGGCCGCCGCGATCCCCCTGGATTTCTACCTATGGGGACACATGAAGTCCATAGTGTACTAGACACCTGTAACATCGGACATGGATCTTATCGCCAGGATCGCGGAAGCGGCAGCCAGCACGTGTCCGTGACACTCCTGGCCAATTTGAACGGGTTCGTGAATCCATGCGCCGACGCTGTGAAACGTGCATTGTGGCGAATGGAAGGAATTTTGAGCATTTGCTGTGATGTAATGATGTTTTATAATAAAAATCATATTAACATCACTATCGATATCATTTTTTTTCTCCTCATCCAAACCTGCACTTATCGCCCTCTAGCAGTCTCAGTTTTAATTTTCGGACACAAGTTCCTATGTAAATCTTGTTCATCATGATATGACAGACCAGCATGTTAAGTTTGTAAACGACCTTTTGAGACACCCTGTATAATAAAATAGATTGATGGACAGGAGCCTGGTACATTTTTCCGACAGCTCCTTTCGCAGACAGGTACGTTTGATAGACAAGTCCGTTTGCCTAATAACTCATTTGTTCGACAGTTCATTTTGCCTGACAAAATATTACGGATACGCTAACCAAGGAATAAAATTAAAAGAATAAAGAGTAAAAAATTGAAATACAAAAAAAAATTATTAAGTAAGAAAAAGTAAAAATAAAAATGAAAAACAAAAGGATTAAAAAAAATAAAAAGAGACAAAAAGAGTTAAAAAATTAAAAGGGAACAAGAAGAATAAATAAAATTAAGGAGAATAAAAAAAGCAAACAAATAAAAAAAATTTAAAGAAAAAATGATTATAAAAGAGAACTCTTTTAATGCTACCAAGAATTAAGTATAGTTCTGAAATTCCGAAGTTCTTTGGAAGGCAAAGAGAAAGGTTTACAACATAAGAAGTTACTACATAAACATTCATTAAATATCGCTTACTATTTTTTGCCATAACTAGCACAGCCTTATTTAGAAGGTTAAACAGTTTATATGCAGTTGCCAGACAAAAAAGATGCAGTTGCCAGCAGAGAATTTTATTTTAATTTCTCTTAGCCCTGTCGGGCAAATGTCTCCGTAAGGAATATACGGAGAAATGAACTTGTCGGAAAAACGGAGTCAGACTTCTGAGTTGTCGGAAAATCAAGTGCCTGGAAAATGAAAGGATCCGGATAAATAGATTTTGCTTGCCAATGCTTTCGTTACATTTATTTCATAGATAGAGTGTGTAATTGAAATTCGTTGTTCCTTTAAAGTTACAAAATGTCCTAAGTATTTATTGGAAAAAAGAGACTTTCACTGTAAGACATATATGTCAGAATACAATCGAAATATTTACGAATGTGCTTAGGAGACTCAGCTAAAAATAACTGCCTAGATAGCTCGTCGCAAACTATTTAATCTCACGACGTCAATGTACCTGTCACTTGTATTATACTACAAAAAAAAAGATATTATAAATATTTAAATTGCAATTAAATTATAATTAAAACGTGAAAAATTTTAGGAAAAAGTGAAAAAATTCTTTCGATTTTCATAAACTACTGAAAAAAAATTTACAGAAACGTAAAAAAATCGTTTTCTAAAAATAAAATGCATTGTTGGGAGCGAGCATAAAATGCAAGCAATATTAAAACCTTTCTTTTTTGGTGTAAATGCGTTAAATAGAGTAACACCTTTTCATCAAATAATTTATTTCGAATTAACATTTTGTGTTTTTCACGGGGTCTGCTGATAAGTTCTATTAAAAATACTAATTCCATCAGATTTCCTTTATGTATATATATATATATATATAGATAGATAGATAGATAGATTAAGAATTAGTGACGGATTTCTTTTTTGATAAATTTTGTTCTTAACAATGGGTCGTAATTCCCTCCGAGTTTTCAAACCTGATTTACTCGAGAACAGCGCCCCCTAGCAGAAAAATTGAACTTGTTTATCATTTGCTTTCTCCGTCGAATAAGGAATGTATCAAGGTCTGCTCCTCCTAAGCATCTTCGGCATTACATTTGCCAGTAAGTCATTCCACTCATTTATGATCTGCGAAATCACTCTTTATTTTATCTACAAAATATTTCTTCTGACGGTGTCGTTAAAACGGCTTCATTAGGGCGTTTGGTTTCTCTTTTAAGAATCCTTTCTTATAATATCAAGCAAAAATACTTTCAAAACTTTGTACAGACCGTTTGCTAAATCATTCAACCCTAAAAATATGAAAAACTAAAGCTATAAAGGACTCCGTCCTTTTTTTGGCATTTTTTTAACTCACTTTCGCTGAAATAGCACCTGATATATTTTACATACTTCTACGCTTTTTACTTAAAAATTTTAACTAATAATTTGATGCCGTTAGTAATTTTGTGTACATAAATTAGCTTCGCGCATTTGTGTTAATATGTTTTTAATTTCATTTTTATTATTATTTAAACTGATGGAAACCGATTTGGATGATGCTGAAAAATTTCAATTTGCGTAAATTAGAAAGTACAAAGATATTTATCAAAAAGTTAAAAATATATGTATTCAAGATATTTGAATGACATCCTTGTATTTTACGAATAAATACCAATTTATTTGTGAAAATTTAATAAAAGTGCAATGTTAAAAATTCCGGTAAAAAGTTCCAGCATTCAGGGTATAATTTAAAAAAAATTCAAAATACCGTAAATTTAACAGTAATAGTTGCCGTAAATTCACTGAATAACTCTACTTAAACAATATTACAAAAATTATGGTATAGTATTTTACTGTAAAAATGGATTTTACGGATGATGCACCCAAAGTGCCGGTACTTGATACCGTAATTTGAATCGAAATTTTTTTCAGTGTAGTTAAAATCATATTTAGAGTTATTTTATTTTTTACGATGGAGGCCTTACCAGGTGTTACAATGAGTTTTAAAGTGGAATATTTCCTCCCGATTATATATAAATAAATTTCTGCTAAAATGTTTGAAAACTCACCCGTTTAGAACTGGCTATCGTAGAACACTTTGAAAAAAAAAAAGAAACCTATTATTTTTAGAACACGAAGATTTTAAAATTTCATTTTTGTTTTGACACTTCTAAAATATGCTGTTCAATAAATTATATGTTAAAGAATTGTGTTTTCGTGTCCTTCAAGATTAGAGTTGAGAGAAAATTTGCTTACATTCTGAGAAACTCTCTTGGAACTTTATTCTTTACTTTATTGACGTTAAATGTGGAATTATAAAAAAACACAATATTAAATATTAATCTTTTTATTTATCTATTAACTATATGGTTTTAATTTTGGATTTTTTTTTTATTATATATATTTTTTTTTACTTTAAAATGATATATACATTAAATGTGGAATTATAAAAAAGGAAGGAAAAAAATTATTTCTCTCCTTATTAGATTTAGTAAGGTCATATATATGTTTATAAATTATTAATTTAATTTTCTTTTTGTTTAAAAGGAAATACACGTTAACTGCGGAATTATCAGAAATTCGATGAAAACTTAACCCGGATTGACTTCACCCTAAGTTTTAAGAGCTGTTTTTTTTTTCCAAGAATCAGACTTAATTGACTTTTTGAAACGTTTAAGGATAAGTCTTTTCTGTAAAATTATTATACTCGTGTTTTATTATTAATATTATTATTATTATTGCAAAATGAATAAAGAAGAATAAAGTTTTGGGGTTTTGAGCTGAAGATCATCTGGTATTTTAAGAAAATTACAATTTACATGTGCCAGTATCTTTTGTACCTGAAAGAAAGTAGTCTTGACATTGAGTTTGTGTTTTATTGTTTCTGAATTAACAATTAGAGCATAAATAGTTAACTTTTGGCGCAAAGGTCAAACGTCGTTTAAGATGTTACGAAATAAAGATATTTTCTCAGATTCTGACTGTCAAAATCTATTTGTGCCAAGAGTGAAGCTTAAAGAGATATGAGTCATTCCAAAAATGCAGACCACTTTTGATAAATTGGAAATTTTAAAAAAAATTTGTAAAAGAAATTTATATAGGAAATATATATATTTCTGTAAATGCATACTAATTAAAAGTATATGAAAAGGAAGCAATATTTTATAAAAACAGGTAGTAATACATCAATTAATATAACTTGAAGAAAATAGAAAATAGTAATGACAATAATATCTTTATCTACGCGTTTCCTCAGTGTAGCTATCATATAATATTACTTTATTACTTTAAAACATATGGGTTCGGTTCTAAAAGTGGGCGCTTTTGGAGGGGAAGGAGATTTCTGGAAGCATTTATAATATAATGGAAATGTTTTCTAACGTATCTTCAGTATTCATTTCATATATAATATAATTTGCTTTTAATCATTGATTCTGAAAGTCTACAGGAAAAAGTTTTAGATGCATTCTCAAGATGAAGGAAATAATATTTTTCTAGGGTTTCTTCAGTAAAGCTTGTATATAATATCATTTGCTTTTGAGTAATGATTCTAAAAATAAGCGCTTCTGAAGTCCTACCACAATGCTGACGTAAAGTATCCTCAAAGGCAGAAAAATAAAGAGTTAGAGTCCCCTTGCCATCAGGCTAACCATAGGTGGCTTTCGTTTTTTTTTTCTCCATGTAACGCAAATGCGGGTTACTTCCATCAAAAAAGCCCACCACGAAAGCAAATTTCTCCCAATAGTTGATCTAGGAGTTACCTTGTCTTCTGGACCGGGTTTAAAATTACAAGGCTATGGAGTTGAACATTAGTAGTCATAAACTCAAAAAAAATGGTCAGCTGTTCGACGACGGTTATGAAATAAAATCCTTTTTCCAAGATATTAGTAAGCACATGACATCCATTCTGCATTCCAAATGTATGTGTTTTTGTATGTTCCTATTTGTGTTTTGTTTTGTATTCTTCCTCAATTTATATATATATGATAAGTTTTATTAAAAATACTA